AGTTAATTTAATCACTCTAATTAATCAGACTTACAGTCAGACTAACCAGACTTAAAATCACTGTTTCATGTTAAATTTATTCTTTTTTAAGCATCACTGAGATCTCTTTAAACTCACATAAATTGAAAAAACTTTTATGTAACAAACTATGCAAATAAACGTTGAAAATTCACAAAAATCTCTCTTAACATCGACTAAATAGACTACTTTCATATAACAACCTAGTAAGTAGGTAGTAAAGTAAGTTTCTTAGGAAAAAGTATTTAAAAATAATATTAATCAGTCACATTTTTCTTAAATATAAAGAAAACTAATTTAATAGGAACATTCTAATTTGAATTGCGAAAATATGATCTGAGAAATAACAACGCATCTAGTGTCTCATCACCAAGTCTGCTTCTCAATTTGTTGCACATATATGCAGCTGCAGAGAAAACGCGTTTAGGTTGATGGAAGTTGGAGGAATCGTTAGTAAATACTTATAAGCTTCGATGACACGGGGAGGATGGAAGAAAACAGTCCGGTCGACACGGATCGGGATTGTAGGAGTAAAGGCTATAATCCCGATTGTTTCGATCATTGTAAGCATGTTTTTCAAAAAATAAACGCGTTAATTTTGTAAATTCGGTCTCTGTGTGAGTCTCTCAGCGTTCAGCAAACCACTACCCCGAAATGTAAAAAGACTTTCTCGCATCATCCTGACAGATTGCGGACAAGGCGAGGGTCATAACCTTTTCACCTAAGGTCGACCCCCCCTAAGCGAGTAGCGTCAGGTCTATATTAACCACACTGGCAAAACAAGATGGCTGACACATTGACAGGTAAAACGCACTGAGTAGTGCTCTTGACTGCGCCAGAAAATCGATTGGCGCCCGCGAAAATTCAAAAATACAAAAATGAAGTATATTACCAAGTAACCCAGTGAGAACTGCTTGCCTATCATTTTAGTTGAAAATACAAGAAGTTTTATTCCAAGCAAGCATCGCAAGCCCGCTTGGTTAATTTCTGCTGCTTGCTTGGAATAAAATTTCTTGTATTTTATATTAAAATGATAGGCAAGCAATTCTGTTAAAAGCACTGGCACTGAACGTTTCGCTTCATGCAGTCTATTTTGAAATTTTTTTAAAATGATGTCAATCCCGAAAATCCCGGGATTAGGAAAACTTAATCCCGAAAATTTTGGGACTGAAAAGTGGTCGGGATCCCGGGATCAAATCCTCTAACTACAATATACAACTAAGTAACTATTTTATTAGTTGACTTCTTGGATGATTTTGCAAGGTAAATATGTCAATTGGTACGCTACTGTTTTAATTTTGCAGTGTGCCAGGGTGCACTACCACTGATATTTTTCAGGAAGTCAGAGAAATTAATGCAATTTTTTCTAGCTGCCATTTGCATTCTGTTTATTATAGAAAATTGCTATTCACTAGAATCTTAGAACTTAAATGACAACATAAATAAGATATATTAAAGAGGATAATCTCAGTTATTTAGTTATATGCCTCTCAACTGTTAGCATCAAGAGAAAGTTCAGATAAAATATTTGCACCAAACAATGATAATTTTTTTTAAATCTTGGAGATATTAGCAAAATTTGAACCTGCTAAAAGTAAACATTTAAGAGATCAAACAAGAATCCTTGCAGTATCTAAGTATAAGATATATAATTGAACCTTATTTATCTAATGTAGGGGTCACCAAAGTGGTTGATGTGGCTAGGGGGTCACAACCTTTTTTTTTTTTTTTCTTTTTGCTTATACAGAGACCACAACATTTTTTTTTTTTTTGCTCATACACATACACTTGTAATAAAACTTTACAGTGGGGGTCGATGTGAAGTTTTGGGAAGTGGTTGGGGGTCGACGGTTAAAAAAGTTTGGCGACCCCTGATCTAATGGGACAAAATGTTCAAAAGACCATTGTTTTTGTTATTAATGATTGTATATATTATAGTATAATTTTAAATTTTGTACGCTGGATATCAACAGAATCAAGCAAATGTCTTTAGTTGTTCTGGATATTTACCCAAAGAATACTTTAGCAAGATTTTGCCTGTTTAATTACTGGAGTTGATTTGACTGAATTAATATTGCAAGAACTGGAATCATTAGGCCTAAAAATTACATGGACAAGACTATGATGATAAAGTAAATATGGAAGGTGCCCATTCCAATGTCCAAAGATGAATTTTAAATCAAAATCCTGGAGTCTTTTTTGTTCCCTGCTCATGCCATTCTCCAAACCTTGTTGTTAGTGATGTAGCAGCAGCTTCTGGAGAAATCATTAATATTTTTTCGCATGTGCAACAAATGTTTGTATTTTTTTCCAGTTCCACTAACAAATGAAGTGTTTTAAAAAATATGTAACATTCTTAACTTAAAAAGGTGTAAGCGTGTAAGCGATATGATACGGAAATATTGCATTAAAACCAATGTGAGATAATTCAGAAGTATAAGATGCATTAAGAAAAATTTCTTTAGATGAACAGAAAGATAGAAGTACTAAAACCAAAACTAAATTGCTAGCATTTAAAGTATCTGAATTTAAATTTTTATGCAAAGTTGTTATTTAGTACAAAGTATTATTTAAAATTAACATAGCATCAAAATTATTAAAAAGCTCAAGTACAGTCTTACAGGAATGCATCAGTATTTTAAAAAGCATTAGTTCATTTTTAGGGAATATTGTTTCAACGAACTGTAACAAATGCTCTGCTGTGCCAAACAAATAGCTATTGCCATGGAAATATCTCCAGATTTCAAGCTTGAACTTCAAATCAGAATTGAGTGTAAAAAAAAACAAAAAATACAATTACAATGGAGAAGATATAACAATACTCCCCACCTCTGCAAAAAACTTTGAAGCAAGCTTTTTAATTATTTAAAATGGATATTTGTATAAATTCCAAAAAGGAAAAATTTTCCCAATTGAAAAATCACAATAAATTACTTTAGATTTTGTATGATATTCCATTGTTAACCAATAAAAATTTTGCAGTTATTTTTAAAAAATTGTCACAACATACAGGATTGATGGTCAATAACAATTCTGATATACAGCCGTTCAATTTATTCAATAAACTTTTGTTAGAAATATTTTAAAAAGAAAATGTCACTGCAAGTTTTAAATTATACTAACAAAAATTAATTAATTGAAAATTTGCCATATGTTTTTATATTATTGGGAATTCTTTTAATCCTTTCTGTGTCCATTACTAGTACAGAATGATCTTTCTCAAAATTAAAATAGATTAAAATTATTTACATTCAACAATGGTGTGGACAGGTCGACATAACCAACTGTATTATCGACCAAACAGGATTAGAAGATATAGAAGTCGATTAAAAAATGTTCTGCTCTTTGAAATTGCATTTATTACATACTTTTATTTATGCAAGAATAGTTTTTGTTTTGTCTGTAATAACTGCACATAAAATATTATGAAAAACTATTTCATTTTTATTGCCACATATCTATAAAACAGTGTTATTGACTGAGTTCAGCAGACTCAACAGTTCCAGAGCTATTGAGTATTTTTCTGCTGAATGCCCTCTACAGTAGCGCTCTTTCGGAACATGTTTGGTGTTTTGACATCACATTTGGTAGCATGTTTCATTTACACTACCTATCACTATCTGAAACCTACCAATGAGGCTTTTTGTTCCAACACAAAGTCACTCATCATTTGGCAGATCCAGGTCGCTATGTAACAGCTACTGATCTGCTCAGTTACAACTGTTGAGTCTGCCAAATGCAGCCATTGCCTTTCCTTTGCCCTTACCTTATCAGCAACTGCAAAAAANTAATTAAAATAAATAAAATATAAGAACAAATGTTGTAATATAATAAAAATTTATAAAATTTTTTGATTATGTTACTTCAATTTTTTTAATGTAGAAGCGTGCCAGAATTGACTGATTCTGTAGACATTTAAAAATCAACGACTTACTCCGTTATCCTAAACCTTGTTGTATTAACGACTCACTTTGAATCTAATAAGATTCCTGCAACACACCATAATTTTTAAAATAAAAAATGTTTAAAATTTAAATGAATTATGGTTGATTTCTGCATTTATATGACATAAAGTCTTCCATAGTGATTTAGTTTCTAAATCGTTGTATAAATCGTCATTTTAGTGAATACCTCCTTCTCCCTTCAGTCGGCTGGCTGTAAAAAGATAAAAAAATAGATGAGATTTTAAAAAAGAGCCTATTCAGAATTCTAAAAAATATTAAATATGTTGGGTACACTGTCCTATTTACAATCGATTATGCCCAACACTACTTTTTAAAAACTCTTTCCGCCCTGTGGGCACTAAGAGGGCCTTTTTAAGCAAGGCCATTATGGGTTCGGCCAGGCCCACAATGGAGCGGCCGGGTGGTGAGAGACGGGGCTCGACGTACCGCTCAGTTACAACTGTTGAGTCTGCCAAATGCAGCCATTGCCTTTCCTTTGCCCTTACCTTATCAGCAACTGCAAAAAAGTGTGGCATAAACTTGGTTCACCTCAATATCAATTTTTGGCATGCAAGCTCTATACGTTGTTCTCTGGCAACACAAAGCTCACTGTGTATGTTATTTCACCATAAGTATAGTGTGAAAGGTTCCATAGAAATCATTAGTCAATGGCAATTTACATCTCAGTAGCTAGCCATAGTCATGTGAAAGGCACAGATAATCGTATAAAACGAAATTTTGATTATAAAGTTGAAATCTTTTTAATTTAAAATATATCATAACAAAAATACGAAATAGTTAACATGGACACAACTTCCTTGAAAATTTTTTCTGACTGATGCATAAACATACGATTTATGTGAATACTGAAAGTAATCATATTGAACGATTGTAATTCAAAATATAAACTGAAAATAAAAATAAATTTAAAAATAAATTTTAATTATTTTATTTAGATTGTAACTATTGATAACAAAAAATAAATTTTAATTCTTTAATTTAGTTCTTATTATATCATAGTAATAATACTTTTCTTACTCAGCATATCCACTGTTCCATGGGAGTTTGGTCATATCCCTAGGTACGATAATTGGTCGAATTGAATGATCAGCGGATACCTGAACTTCATCTTCTGTTGTCAGCTGAAGGAAATGAGGTCTAGTATATGGAAATTTAAGAGGTTGCTTATCCAAAGGTTCCGCATCTTTAATTACAGGAAGAGCTTCTAAACCACCGACAACGTTATACAAAACACTTTTAACTCTATTAAACATATTAACAACTCAGTCAAACGCTAACAATACAGAAACGTGGAAAGAAAGCCGCCATCTTTGTTGCTAGACCGCACTTAATTAAATTAAATTATGTAGTTTTATCGAATTTCATCCTAAAAAGAAAGCAAAAAATATTAGTAGTAATTTAATTATCTTGAAATATATTTATATGATTTTTTAAATAAATATTTATATAAGCTTTAAAAATATTATTACACATTTAACGTATGAATTATAATACAATTAGTGTTGCCAGCGTGGTGTATTTCTCTTCTTTCGTTATCCTATTTCATCTGTTTTTCCCTCCAATTTTTTCATAGCTTATTTTTTATTGAGTCTTTTATTCTATCCTTTTTTCCCCAAAATTTCAATTGACTTCTCTCTTTTTTTTTTTTTTTTAAACTCTTTCCGTCCTAATAAGTAGCATTAGGCACTATCGACTTGTTTTCTATTGTTTTCTGCTGAATAAGTATTGTTACATGATTTCGTAAACAAAGTTCCCTCACCTCACGATTTTTTGGTAGATATATCGATAATAATCTCCTTTTAAATTTTGTGGCCATGGAGTTAAAGAATACGGAACAATATTTACGTATTAAATGGGCTGCTAAATTTCAGATGTTATTGCAATATTTTTATTTTTATTTTTCTTACAAATATTACACTTCGCAGAATATTGAGACATTTTTTTGGAAATAATTCCATACACTTGGATTTTTCTGTATATTTTGAACTATTCAGCTTAGTCAAAAACATTAAACTTTTACAGTAAGTCACATATTACTGTATACCGATAAATATACCGATATTTTTACCGGTATATTTAACGAAAGTTGCTAAAAAAGTTTTTAAAATGTACTAACTAGTAACGTAGTTAAAGATAGAAAATATTAATTTTTACATTAATATATTAACATAATAATGTTTTTGATATTTAAAAATTGGTAAAACGCAAAAAGCCCTAAAATTGGAAGTCTGAGATAAATGGCGCTTTGACTAACAAGTAATTTCTAGATACTCTAGTAATTTCTAATTTCCGGAATCGTTTAATTAATTAAAATAAATAAAATATAAGAACAAATGTTGTAATATAATAAAAATTTATAAAATTTTTTGATTATGTTACTTCAATTTTTTTAATGTAGAAGCGTGCCAGAATTGACTGATTCTGTAGACATTTAAAAATCAACGACTTACTCCGTTATCCTAAACCTTGTTGTATTAACGACTCACTTTGAATCTAATAAGATTCCTGCAACACACCATAATTTTTAAAATAAAAAATGTTTAAAATTTAAATGAATTATGGTTGATTTCTGCATTTATATGACATAAAGTCTTCCATAGTGATTTAGTTTCTAAATCGTTGTATAAATCGTCATTTTAGTGAATACCTCCTTCTCCCTTCAGTCGGCTGGCTGTAAAAAGATAAAAAAATAGATGAGATTTTAAAAAAGAGCCTATTCAGAATTCTAAAAAATATTAAATATGTTGGGTACACTGTCCTATTTACAATCGATTATGCCCAACACTACTTTTTAAAAACTCTTTCCGCCCTGTGGGCACTAAGAGGGCCTTTTTAAGCAAGGCCATTATGGGTTCGGCCAGGCCCACAATGGAGCGGCCGGGTGGTGAGAGACGGGGCTCGACGTACCGGGACGGACCATTCCCGAAAAATTCCTGGAATTTCTTAATCCAACCATGATTCGATCCCGGATCAGCAGAGCGGTAGGCTGCCACACCACTCTAGCCGCTCGGCCATAAGGCCGTCAATCCATATCAATCCACGATAGATATGGAAGAAAAAGCCATTTTAGGGCTCAGAGGACGGGAAAAGATAAAAATGAAAAAAAAAAAAAAAAAGGAAACAAAGATACTAAACAATCCTTCAAGAAAATACATAAGCTTTTACAATCGTTTATATAAGTTAATTCTTAAAAATTATGAGTGATTAGAACTAGGAAATAATTATCATAAATAAAAAAATAAACTAATTTTTATCTACGGCAATGATTATTCATTTTGATTTTATCGTAAACATTTATAACAATTCATCGAAGCATTTCAATTTTTTTTAACGCTTACATTTAATTAATTTTATTTGAAATAAATTTCTTAATCAGTAATTGTTTAATTGCATTCAGACTTTATTAATCATTTTAGTAAATAAAAAATAAGCGAACAAATCGAATAATGTGCGAATTACGAAATTGGAAAGTTGGCAGTTTTCACGTTTGAGTTAGGACTAAGCGTGATTTGTATATTTGACATAATGGCGGTTTCTTCAAACAAGAAAAGAAAAACAGAAACAAATACGTCGTTTCCAGATGATTTTAAAGCAATTCAGTTCTTAAAATCTAAGATTCCATGTAATTTGATGTGTTTAAACTTTTCTGAAGTGAATGGAAGCGACAAGTTTATTAGTTCTTATATCATTGTAGGTTATATATAATTTTGTTTTTTTTTTTAAATAATTAAGATAAATATAAATTATAATATTTAAATTGATGTTGAAAGAAAAGCTAAAACTCAGTAATATAACTTACAAGCTGAAACGTACATAAATTAATACTAAACACCATACACACTCTTCCAACAAATATGTATTGGAATCAACTAAATACAGAACGTTTTTGGCCTCGGGCCTACATCAAATTTAGTTCTAAACGTTCTAAATTTAGAATCTGTGCTAACGTTCTGTAAGATGAGTGATGCTGTTGGGACCTTTACACAACCGTAGACCGTGCCCCATATGAGCAAAAAAGTCAGGAATCGTATTTCTGTTGGTGATTCTTTGCGAGATGTAGTCCCGAAATTGGCCTACTTCCGGGCACGATTGGGAGTTATGCTGTGCGCTCCACTAATTGTGACTTCTGATTATTGTCTGTTTAACAGACGGCCCGGCATGGTGGTTGGACATTCTAACAATATTTATCGGTAAAGCGTAAAGAAAACTACAATGTGTGCCCTTTGTAAGATTTTTTGCCTTAAAATGTGGAACCCTGATGCCTTCGCTTTGCAAGAACTAACTGATAAATGCATGAATGAAGTGTGGAAGAAGTTATGGCTGAAAGTATTCAAGAATTCTCAATGAGAAGAGCCTATCGCTGTATCGTTAGGTTGACCAAATTGTCAACCTACGATACAGCAGGACTAGATGTAGATGAACAGGATATTGAGGAGTTACTGCAGGTTTATGGTGAGTCTTATTAACGACAACCTTCAAAAACTGGCAAAACATGGATTCCATGTGGAACTGGAAAATAGAGATTCTGAAAATGAAGAACCCAAAAAAGTTCTCTACAGATTTCCTTAGTATAAAAGTTTGATAAGATAACTAAAATTGTTGATCAAATTTTAGTGAATGATTCAGATTTTGAAAGAAGTGCAAAAGCAAAACAAGGTGTTATGGATGCGATCTTCTGCTACTGACATTTACTTAAGGAAAGAAAAAAGCGACAAATGAAACTGTGACTTTATTGCAAAATAACAATAATTTCAGAAAAGTCAGGACCTTCGTCACAAAAATTGAACTTTAAATTTCTGTGTGCATATGTTTATATGTTTATGTGTTATTTAACATATATTATTATAAAAATTAATATAAAAATAACTTAAAATTAAAGTAAAATTTGTTTATTTTTGGTTGCGTGTTCCACTATCTCTATTTATTCTATGTTAAAATTATTCAGTATTTCAACAACCATGGTAATTGTTATTTAACACCTACTGCTGAGAATGATGAGAATTGCTGCAAATCAAACAAACTGTTTTCAATTTGATCAATTTTCTGGAACATTTACAATTGTTCTATAATCAAACCAATATGCAATAACAAATTCAAATTTAAAACGGTTCGAACATTTGGTTAAAAAATTGAAATATATAAAAATATTTACAGTCGACCCCCCTATAAGATATAGATACGTTCCAATTTATTAGGAATCCGATTTCTTACAAGTCGTTCCAATCACACCCGACACGTGTCAAGTTTACGGACTACGGCTGATTGAAAGGTTTTCTTCCATAAAATTAATTGATTCTACACTAATCCGACTCAACATTTCCAAAATACGTATATTTTTTCGTAGTTTTATAGGAATCGTAATTATAGGGACCGTAATTATAGGGGGGGTCGACTGTATAACATTGTCTGAAATGTAATCAATTTAATACATCTAAGTACTCAATGAAGACTAAACGTATTTGAAAACAAAAAATTGCATCTAAAATAGTACAGTAGAAGCTGTTCGTCAGGTTAAGCTCCTTTCCCTCTCCCCCATGGAGGGGAATTTGGAAAAATCCCTTCTTAGTGTGCATTTTCATGATGTATTCTAACTGTGTACCAAATTTCACTGCTTTAGGTTCAGCAGTTTGCTCTGGGTGGTGATGAATCAATCAGTCAGTCAGTCAGGACAAGTAATTTTATATATTTAGATGACCCCATTTAACAATGTTTCGCTTAGTGCTTTGTTGTCTAGGAACACATCCCACACATTAAGCTGGGTCTTACTGTATATTAATATCTATTATATTGTATTTCAAAATTATTTATATTTTTTCATAATTTTAATAAGTGTTTATTTTAATTTATAATTTAGGGTAAAGTGACACAAATTTGGCCAATTTCTGAACGAATAAAAAATGGTTACCTTTTAAAAATTATGATTTCTGAAGGTAAATATATATTTTGTTTAAAATAGTGTCTTTTTATAAATACCTATTTTATTTCTTGAAATATTGTAGAAAAATATCTGTTGACTTATGTAATACTTATAAAGTTTTAATCTTTCAATTAATTTAATAATTATAATAATAATAGTAATAATAATTTTAAAGAGCAATTATACACAACAACCTTATTCCACAGATAACATGATCATATCAAACAATAAGTTAGAGAACAAGTACATAAACATGCAGAAACTAGAGTTGTGGAGTTGGGAGTCAGAGTTGGAAGCAAATTTGTTTTTAGAGGATTCAGATTGGTAAAAATGGACCAACTTTGACTCTTTATTTTTTTATTACTCTAAGTACTCAATTACTCTAAGAGTTTTTGATCCACAAGAGAGAGTTTTTGTTCACAAGACACTAAAACAATTAATGACTTGTTGACAGTAGTAGTAGTAGTAGTAGTAGTAGTACTACTACTACTACTACTACTAAATGGTCAGGCAGTGTGGGCTACACTGACCATTTACCATAACCTTAAAAATAAACACCTCTGAAATTTCACACAAAGCCAATGTTAATGGTGTAAGCTGAGATAATTTACAGCGAGTTTCTTAAATTTAATATGTTTATTTTTGTATTTTTGAATCAAATAATAAAATACACAAAAAAGTACCAAGAGTATTTTACATCATTATAAAGAAGACGAAATGAAACATATAATTGTAGGAAGTTTCTCCGACTCTGTGATGCACCAAAGTAGAAATTTGAAAGAATTCAGCCAAGTATATTCATCGACTTTGATAAGAAGATATAAAATATATTGCTTCTATTTAACATTGGAAGAAAGTGAACTTGTGGTGTATACATGTCCTTGCGTACATGGCGTGTTTAATGTTGACTGATGAGGGGCTAAGTGCTCGAAAAGTGTAGAAGTACCCATATCAACTGAATAAAGATGGGAAAAAAGCCAAGTGTTTAATTAATAACACAATCTTGTGTTCAACACTCAATAAAAAGTAAAACACAGTTTCAGAAAACAAATAAACTGTAGTTTTTGATGTAATGCTGACAGTTTCACAGTTTTAGAATAAAAACTTGTTTATTTTTTTAAGCATTTTTTTTTTTTTCAATGCACCCTCTAGAGAAGGATGTGTAATTTCACTTAAACTGACAAGCCAGCTTTTATCGTATGAAAATATCTGATTTCATAATCTCCTTGGATAGACTGGCATGCTGTCATTTTGCAAAAATATGGTATGTACTTATTATGCTCTTAATAGGAGTATTAACCTATCTGGCATTATAGAAGACTCCTGTAATGTAAGATATTTTATGATGATACTCCTACTTCATTATCTTTCTTTACACATTGCTAATCACTGTTAATATTTTTTTTTTTCAAAAATTTATATTTGGATATATTCTGTGTTAGCAAATTCTAAATTTTTGTTGTCAAAAGACTCATACAAAATGGCTAAGACTTCTTAAATTTAGTTGCTATTTTTTAATAATTTACTACAACTACAAATGGAAAACATTTTATGTATTAGTCTGTGGTTGACGATGAAAATGATAGTGGTGATAATGAAAAACTTTGTGAAAAAGATAAGTACTTTCAATGTAAATTGAAATGCCTCATGATTCATTTAAAAAATGCTTAAAAAGTATCCTGATGAATCAATTGGTAGTGATGAAATGCCATTCTGGGTTAATATAATGAAAGTATATTTTAAATTATTATTTAAAAGTCAATGTTGGAGTTGGACTCTCAAAAATTCTATCAGTCTGAGTTAGGGGCTTGGTCTACTGACTCCACAACACTGACAGAAACACTAGATTACACTGAAGATCAGACACTCATTGACATCTTAACAATAGTATCTAATGAAAACATAAAGAAATAGCAACCACAACTATAACAGAAGATGCTATAGACACAGTATTAATTATCACTTATTACAATAAACACTTATTAAATATGTATGATTAGATCCAACACAAAGACCATAAATACTCAAAATAAACATGAAAATGTGAGATCCGGGTTGTGATCTTCATCACTACCATGGAAAAATATAACTTTACAGTTTAAACTTATAACATCAACAATACATCAAAACATATACACATAGGATATATTCCTTTGAAGAACAACTATTTATCACCTAATACAATGATTTAGTTGGTATTGGTTAAAAATCGATTAATTTTCCTAATCTAATTGGGTAAGTCAACAGTAAAAAGTTTATTAGGGGCAGCTTGGAATGAAGAAACTGTTGGGGGAGAGATTCTTGTGTTGTATGAGAACAAATTCAAAGATGCTGGACTGCTCAAAGACTCACACAGTGGCATTGCCATCTACAAAAGGTTGCACAAAATAAATTGAAAGTACTGTACTTATGATCCAACTGTAAGTTGTTAATGTAACTGAAATATGTGTAATACATCACAATAAACATTTTCCCATCAAACTGTTGAGCATAGTCACTCTTCATTTTTTCCATACAATGTAACATTTTTGTCAAAATGTGTTGGAAATTTAAATGAGGTTTAATGTGTTGGAAATTTAAATGAGGTTTAAGGACCAGCTACCCTTTGGGTAAAGAAATTACTTGATGCTGAAAAGTTGAACAAACTGTGGTGGAAACATCACAAAAACAATTGGGAGAACTTTACACTATCTAAATGCACACACACTACCAAAATACAGTCTTGATTCAGCATTCTTAGATGTATACATGTTAGTTTATTGTGGTGTAATCACTAGTAAAATACTATGGTTTCAAAGTACAAGCACATTCAAAACACAGTTAAGTCTGTCTGGTAAAGACTAGAAACACAAATAAATGACATAGACCACAGTTAGGTAGGCTGACACAATATTTTATAAAAGTTAATGAAAGAGGTTAGAAAGAATAGGTTAGAAAAGTTAATGAAAGAGGTTAGAAAGAATAGGTTAGAAAAGTTAATGAAAGAGGTTAGAAAGAATAGGTTAGAAAAGTTAATGAAAAGAGGTTAGAAAGATATTCAAAACAATTAAAACATGTCCAAAACACAAACAACACAATACACATGTATGGAAATACATTGACACTTTCAAACAAAACCTTACAGCTAAGTTCAAAGATTCAAACAATACAAAATCTGTATGCTATAAAAACAACAAAGTAATTTATTCACAATGAGAGACTTTACTACTAACAACCACATATCAAATCTACGACACAATCATTGACATGGTACACCAACAGAAAAAGAATTTACGGATTATTGACCTGCTGTTTAGGATCCAAACATATACAAAAATGAATTATGCTGGATTAAGGAGGAAGAACAAAACATACATATGACAATAATCATGCCTTGTGTTGAAATAAACCTATGCAATATTCAAAAGATAGATTAAAATACAGTGGATACTGCTTATTGTAACCATGTTAGGACAAAGCCAAAGTGGTCACAATAATTGATAATTACAATAACTGAAGAAAATAATAAAAAGGTAGAAAATGAAACAACATACACTCAATGGCCAATGAATTAGAAACCACTATGCATATTAAGTAAGTGTAATTTTGCAGCTTGTATACAAAACACTTGAGTCATGTGAGTTACCATGTGTTTATAAGCTCCTATTTAAGAATGCTATTGGTCAGTATGGTCATTAAGTTTATGAAAATGGGAAAAGTAAAGGACTTGATGGAGTTTCAAAAAGGGTTGATTATGGGTGCCTGTCTCACTGGAGTCATGATGTCAAGAACTGCAGAGCTGACTGGTTTTTTCAAAGGTGAGATATCCCAGTGTTCAATTTGTGAAAAAATAACCCTCAGTTGATGTATAAAAGAAGTAACTGTGAGGCTCCAAAACTGTTAATCAGGAATGTGACCAACATTGTCTGAAAAGGCTAGCGTGGGAAAAAAAAACTTTCTCTGTGCAGCAATTGATGGAAGAATTTAATGAATCCCATCCCTGACCCACATCTACCCAAACTATGCTTAGGGAAGTGAATCAGTATGAACAGATGCAGGACTATATGAAAAACCCTGATTTCTGCAAGGAACTGGAAAGTTCATCTAGTCTACAGTGGTACCACGAGTGTCATGATTGGACATCTGAGGACTGGAAAAAGTAATATGGTCAGATGAATCACGGTACAGCTTATTCTGTACCGAAGGTAGACAGAGTTTGGAGGGAGTCCCTTGAAGCAATGGAACCTTCTTGTCTCATTAATTCATCGAGGTTCTGGTGGGGGTGTTATGGTATGGGGCGTGTTCTGTTGGAAAGGAACTGGTCCGCTGATATTCCTGGAAGGTCACGTGACTTCCAATGAGTACCTGAACATTGTTACTGATCAACTTCATCCTGCAATGTTTCATTTTTTTCCTGCATGTAATGGCTCTTTCTTTGATGACAATGCTACTGTCCATTGCACAAGAATTGTTCAGCAGTGGTTCAATGAGCATGCCACTCACCCTGGCTACTACAGAGCCCAGATTTTAACCCCATAGAGAGCATATGGGACATATTAGAACAACAGGTCAGCAAAGTCTGCTTCCATCAAATCTACATGAACTAAAAGAAAGTCTAGTGAATGCCTGGTGTGCATTGGACTTAGAAGCACTTCAGCATCTTGTAGAATCGATGTCAAATCAAGTAAACGATGTAATTCAAGCTAAAGGTGGTCCAATAAAATATTAAACTGCTATTTCTAATTCATTGGCCAGTGATTATATGTTACCAAATGATAAAATTTCATTTAGTTCTAATTGTCTACATTACTTACATAATAAATCATCAATACAATAAAGCATGATTATTGCATCATAAAATTGTTTGATCAGCATTATACTCTGTGTTGGTAAGACCTGCAGCCCTTTCCACATTTCAGCAGTTGTTAGAAGGTTAGTTATGTCAATCTCCTTGTCACTTTCTTCACCTGCATTAGTATTATGCATTGTAACCACTTCTTTCATTACAGCATAACAAATTTATTCTTTAAGAAGTTTTTCAGTGCAGTGCCTTCATCAATTTTCATCTATGCCTTGAAATCAGATACTAATATATTGCTGGGATTTAAATCATTATTGTTTCCTCCACTTCATCTTCATCTGCATCTTCATTTGCAACTTTAGTAAATCTCCATGCTTAAAACCATTGATAATTGTGGTTGATGTAACTTTGTTCCAGTGTTGTTTAAGAAAATGAAGAGTATCTAGAAGACTGATCTTTTTTGACAGCTCTCCTGCATTCATTTTTCAATGTCTTGAACTGTGCATTTCACAACAATAATATGCTTTCATGGTTTGGATTACACACTGATCACAAGGTTGATCATTGGATGAGTGATATGGATGGTATTGGATAGCAAATGTGCAATTTTTATCTAAATTAAATTGATTATCACTTGATGTGCCACACAATTGAAAACCATCATGAATCTTATCTTAAGTTTCTGGTTTTATTTCAGTAACCAGTCATTAAAATTTGCTTTTGTCATGTAGGCATTGCTATTAGAATGATAAACAACCAGTAATGTTTTCATCTCCTTAAATCAACAAGGGATTTTTTTTCCTACTGCCATGAAGTCTACCTTTCCTGCCATGCTTATACAACACATGATCATTAGATGGTCTTTAGAAATTTTACAGCCTGTTACTCATTCATTTTTAAATATATTAGTATGTCCAAACATAGCATAAAAATAAAAATGCCAGTTTCATCAGTGTTATAAACATTACAAGATGAAAATTCAGAAGAGAATTTAGGCCACACTTTCATCAGACAATCTTTCTCTGAAGAGAAATCTGCATCTTTTTCTTCTCCGTGTATCAATTTGTAAACAATGTTTATGTGTTTTTCTAGTGAAAAAATCATTTTTCAGTTTCGTAAAATTTTCTCTGCCCATTTTTTAACAAAATCATCGGCTTTATGATGAATGAGTAGAGTTTTAATTGGCATATCTTTCTGTTGTACTTCTGTAAATCATAACTTCAAAGCTGTTTCTACCCCCCAATCTTTTCCACAGTGATGCCATTTAGTTTGATTGTTCTCATTAGAACATGCTGCATTTTCAAGATTGTTTGTTCTTCAGAAATGAGCACAATAAACACTCTGAGATTCTTAACTGTACTGCAAACTTTCTTAGCTCATTTTTTGGGAGCTTATTGTAATGTTCCAAAATCTTCAATTTATCCTTTAAAAATATATTATTATATCATCTGTTGTGTACTTTATCCATCATATTGAACAATAAAGATTGTAGTGAATACAGTACAGACCAAGAATTTAAAAAATAACTTACTTATAAAATATGATGGTATGGAATGAAGCTGGAGCTTTCTTACAGTGTAAACATAAGATTGCAAACATGTGTTCTTGTTTGCAATAGATGTGTAGCAAAATGGACTTGCTGATGACCAAATTAATACTGGTTGTGAGGACTCATAAAGTTGTTTGTGGCCCTGATATCAGACTGCAGAAATGCAACCAATACAATTTTAGAGGAAGAGTACTGACTACTCAGGATGATATAGAGCAGATGTGGCCAAACTTTTATCCCTTAGGGGCTACTTTTTTGGTAAAATATAGTCTGCGGGTGACTATGAATATGGGCAAACAATTTTAGGATTTTTATATGCACATACGTTAACATTCATTTGCATTGTTCATCAGGATAAATATAAACAGTATGGGTACGTTGCATAGACAGTCTATTATTGTAAGAATAAATTATCAAATTAAGATTTTTAAACATTAATTTAAGTGAAAGCAAATTGTTCAACTTTAGCTTCGCGGGCTACTTTCAAAACCTTTGCGGTCGACCGCAGTCTATGTGTTGGCCATCCCTGATATAGAGGGTTGACGTGTTTTATGTGGGGCAGTACAGACAATGAGGTAAGAACTCTGACAGGAAATCATTTACTAGAGAGATATTATTCTTACAAATCTTCCACAGTTTAGCGAAGCACAAATTTAAATGAATAAATGTCAGTCCTCATAGGAATTGATTTGGCCTTACCCCAAGAGTCCATTAAGAGGTTGGTTGGCAAGAGTGCTGGTGAAAGAATGGTGGAAACAGTATTCTTCAACAAAAAAGACTTGGCCACCTTGGTTCACTAGATCTCTGGGTGGATGGGAAAATGGGTCAGGTGTCAAGCTTTAGTTTGTTGGCATATCAATTGGCACAAAGCAATTACAAGAAACATGGCTGCTGATGGTTGGAAATCCTTACAGGATGGGAAGGATGGTCATCTGAATGATGAATTGAATCAAGATAAGTTCCAGTGCTACCAAGAGAAATAACAACCTGTTGAAGATATAACTTCTCACAAGTACAAGTATGTTCCAAAGGAAATGGAGAAACCTTTATAAGTAACTAGAAAGAAGGTACTGTACATAACAAGAGATGCTCTTGCAAGCAGGAATGTGGAACCAACTGATTGAAAGGAAATAAGAAGCTTCAAGAGCAATTTGAGTGAGAGGAACCTTATGTTCTTGGGACATGGGTTTTTAACTGTTTGATTCTGTCAGTTGTCTATCTTGATTAGTCTTGGTTTCCTGTCCACAGTTTCTGATTGGTCTATTGCTAGTTTTCAGAGTTAATTTGAGGCTGTGGGAAAGATTGATGTTGACATAGAGTTTGATGCCAAATTCCAATCCCAACTGGAGATGGTTGATCTTAGGACTTACATTGTTTATCTTAGTTCTTTTGTTGAATAAATTTTAAACAAAAATATTTTTTGGTCTCTCTTGGTTTTTTTTCTAATTCAACAAAATTTTTTAGGCAAATTTTGATGAGGGTTTGGACCTTATCCAGATCCTCACATAGCCTATAGTTTCAGATTTATTCCATGTTTTTTCTATTTGTGTAAACAACTACTCCTTTGGGAGAGAGAGAACTGAAGTAGCTAAGACAACTCAGGTGTGCAGACTCCCTACAGATGTCTGAAATAGCTTAGAGGTTTCACCAATATATAGTTTGTTGTAAATTGATCACATTAATTGAAGTGTTGATAAATGATAAATTTTGTACTTAAAAAGAAATATTTGTAAAACAGTGAGCAGAAGAAAGGCTTTTCTTGAAATCACTAGTCTTTCTCTTCTATTGAACATGTCATTATGCAATTGGGGATATGGTTAAGTGGCTTTTGATTGTATCTTGCTTTGTTCATAGAAAAATACAATAAAACAAATTTAGAACAGCTTTTATATAAAAATAATTATTTCACTTATACCAACAAATTTAATTTTTTTAAAATTATTTTCTGTTTTTACTAACTACTGTAATTACCTAAACATAAAATCAAAATAAGTAAAGGTTTTAATTAATTAACTTTTTTAATTTCAAGAAAATTTATTTTTTTTTTAACTGATTTGGCTGCAATTTGTAAAATTTGTAGATCTATAAATTCCCACTGTCGTTTGTCTGTCCTTCCTTAATCTCGAGAACGGAGTTAGATAGATGAAAGCTGTGACCAGATACGGAAAGATTATGAGCAGGAGGCCCAATTAACTATATATGAACTTCTGATGTAAACCAGAAGTCACATTATTTCAATTCAAAAATTTTCCCCTGAAAGGAGGTAGATGACTGGCATGACTATTGCTATAAGGAAAAGTATGATGTACAGGGCAAGACACTACTAATTTGAGGCGGGGAGCACATATTTTAAATTAAATAAATCTAAAAAATATGATTAAAAATTGCAGCCCATCATTGTGATGATGTCACGATAAATAATTACTTGTTTCATATATTTTATAGCAAATTCCAATTTTATGAATTTTGAAGAAGCAAAACTTGCTGTATTTTTATTTGATAAATTTGCTTTAGAAGCTAATCCTGTAACAATCAATGTAAGTAGTATTTACTTTACTTATATTTAGTAGAATATCTTTTATTACTATTATTATTTTTAAAAAATTATCTTAGAATTTAAAATTAAGCTATTACATGGGAAATACCAATTATAATAATATTGATAATTTTTAATAAAAATTTATGTTTTAAGTGATATTAAGTGTTTCAAATTTAATTAAAGTTGCTAAAATCAAATGATGATAAATGAAATATTCATTTTGTATTATATGTAATAAAACATATAATAATAAGTTACAAAAAGTTCCTAATTACATTAAATTTTTTTAAATATAAAACNTTGCTTGCCCATCCATAAAACATATAATAATAAGTTACAAAAAGTTCCTAATTACATTAAATTTTTTTAAATATAAAACTGAACTTTAATGATTATTAGTCGCTCAGCATTTGCATTTGCATTTGATGTGTAACTTGTCATTTTTTCATTCACTTTGACTTTCTACTTTTAATATTGTGCCTCAGTTTGAACTCAAAAATTTTTCAGTGATTTGCCTCCCCTAATCCCAGCTACAGCATATTCAACTGCAGCATTACATCAATGTGGCAATTTCACCTTTAATAAGAAGGGCTTTTCTTTTATCTTCCAGCCAAGTGGCTATTGATACCGAGCTTAATATTATTTGCCGTGCAGTAAATGAGGCGGGCTACAGTAATGCCAAGTTTATCTACATCTTAAATAAGGTAAAAAGATCACTCTTTCCCGCTACTACACTACATCTTCCGAAAGAGTCCACAATAGTCCTGCCCGTGATATCATTTTGTGGCCAAGTCACTGTCCGTATTTGCCATATTTTTAGGTGACATGCCTTTTTTCTGACGGTTTTTCCACAGCCAGATCTTAGGAGGTTGTTGTCCAATGACAGAGATCCCATATCCACCCTTGAAAGATTGGGGGTTTACTCTTTCCCATTGGAAAATGTGTCAGGAGGTCGCACCCATTATATTGGCGCGACAACCAGAATGTTGTCGTATCGTATTTTAGAACATCAATATTCTATCAGGGAAGGCAAGAATGAAACCGAACTCTCAAGAATGAAACCAAACTCTCTCTTACAACACCAACATACCCCATTGTGGGGCAAAGTGGCCATATTAAGACAATGCAATAATAGAAATCTTGTGTATATTTGGGAAGCCCTCCTTACCAACATAAAACCCCTTAAGCCCATAACCCGAGATATCTCGGGCAAGTTACATAGTGTTACATAAAACGCGGTCCTTAAGGGAAGTTTTTAATTTTTTTTTTTTTTTTTTTATTTAATTTTTGGAATGTTTTTTAAGTCCCCAAATTTTTTCAAAATTTTTTGCCCGCACAAAAAATTTTATCGCGATTTTAATTAGTCTTTGATAAGGCTTGATTAAGGCTTAATTGTTTTTTAATGGGAGTTTTTTATCAAATTTAATTAATCATTCTAAAGTTGTAATGCATGGATTTGACTTCGGTAAAGTTATTTAAAGCTGCTTTCTGATGAATGAAATTTGATATCAAACTCCTATATCAGGACTTATTATACTGGCTTTACAGATAATGCTACAAAGTTTTACAGAAAACAATTTTTTATTTTATTTAATATACCAGAATAAGCCAGTATAATAAGTCCTGATAATAGAAGATATGAAATTATAGATAAAAATTTATATTTTAGTAAGAAAAAGGACATTGAGGCATTTTAATGTATGTAATGCTATCCACATTCAGACATCTAATTACAATCGATTGCAATTTTTTGTTTTTATATCCACCATAGTTGAAAACCCTTTTTCACTCAAATATGCAGAAATTTTGCATAATTTCACAAAAAGCTCTTGGGGGCCACGGTCCCCCTGTTAAGAAACACTGTCCTAGGTAACCATAAGGTGAACAACTAATTTCAACATGTAGAGCTGCTCTTAAAAAAATATAAAACTTGGACTGCAAAATGTTAAAAATTATTTTCCTACATTTGTATGACTTTTTCTTGAGAACTTAGGAGCAGTTAGTATAATCATAGAGTCATTAGTATATCAGGACTGTGGAGGAGAGAAATACCTAGGGAGATGGGATCTAGCAATGGTGGGAAACATGGTGCTAATTTTTACAGAGGATAAACAGAGCAACATACAAAAAAATGAACTTTTCAGATTAAAAGTATATATATTTTTTAAATTTGATGTTTTTGTATTAATTTCTTTGTAAATATGTGTTATTATATCAAATAGAAATACAAATAGAGTCTTATTTTAAGGGATCCTGGAACAAACAGATTTCTTGGAATAGTAGATTCTTTTCCCAGGTCCTGCTAAATTAAAATAGTTTTATCTTCTCTTAATGGATTTGCAACTCTGAATAACATATTTTTTTTCCTAGCTTCATCTATTGTAATCTTTGTGTTTCTTCAACTTTTAATTAATATTTAGGTGTTTCAGGAATTTGTAGAGTTTGATGATTTACTTGTTACATCTGGGATGTGTAAAATTGAAGAATTGTACAAAAAGAGTCAGCAGGCTGATATGATTGAGGAGGAGCCATCTAGTGAACATTCTGATTCTCATCTAGTGAGCATCCAAGTGTAGTGCTAAAATTTAGCAAGGCAATTGAGTCTTTCCAAGTTGTGAAGATCTTGATGATTTCATAAAAAAGGGCTGACAGATTTACAATTTAAAAAAAAAAAAAATGTAACAGAGACTAAAAATGTCTTCACTTTCTCCATGTCCAATCACCAGGAACAACAATCTTCCACCGCAGAGACAAACCTTGATGAGTTTCAGCATAAATAAACAGGCATGACATTACTAATATCAAACAGTCATTGTATTCAATAGGCAGAAAAGCATCATCAAAACAAACCAAGATGGATGAGTTTTTTTAACAAATTGTGAAGTCAAGTGTAATGCTAATGAGCATATGTAATTCACCTCCTCTTGTGCTTGCAGTATATATAATTTCCATCAGCTTTGTCTTACACATACAGTGGTACCTCGGTATATGTCTGCTTTAGAATACGTCCAATTCAGAATACGTCCTGTTTGGACGAAACAAATTTTGCTCGGTATACGACTTTTGTTCGGTATACGACTTAATTCAATTATACGCGCCATCTATGAACAAGTAGCACTATCGGTATACTAGACCAGACTAGACGTTCGCGGTGCCACAGTTTATAGCTTTGTTAAATTTTTTCTGATTTTAATTTGTAAGTAAAATTTTATTATTTTTATTAATCATGAATTACAAAAAGGCAAATGAGAAGCAACAGAAAACTAAAAAAAAATGACTAGAATCACAATGGAACTGAAAAAAGAGATTGTTGAGAAATATGAAGGTGGCACGTCTGTTCGAGATTTTAACTGTTGCATATCGCATTCCGAGAATGACGATATCGACAATCGTGAAAAATAAAAACATTATTAAATCTGCTAACGTTGTGAAAGGGGTTAAATCAATTTCTAAACAGAGATAGAAGACATTAGATCATGTTGAGAAAATGCTTTTGCTTTGGATAACTGAAAAAGTGTACTGGCGACATCGTATCAGAAGCATTATTTGCAAGAAAGCTAAAAAGATACATGCTGATCTCATGAAAAATCAAGCAGGAACTAGCCAGGAAAGCGAGGGTGTTTCAAGCCAGCCACTTTTTTTACATGAGAACGGATTAATCATTTTTACATTACTTCTTATGGGAAAGGTTGGTTTGGTATACGTCCTATTTGGTATAAGTCCAAACACCAGGAACGGATTAAGGTCGTATACCGAGGTTCCACTGTATATAGTGTGAGAACCTAGGGACCAATATTTTAGGTTAAATAGAAAATTTTAAAATTTGTCAAACAAGCAACATTCATGTTAGTCACAGACAAACTTTCTTTCAATTTTAAAGGAAGTTCCTGAGGAGATATGCTGATTTTGATATCAACTTTAAAGAGAAGTTTCTTGTTGCTTATCTCCTCAGTGACTTGAATAGCCTCCAATAATTGGTTAGATGAATATCCTAAAAATGGGTATTCATAGCAATGCCTAGAGGGCTGGAATTGGAAACAGAACTCTTTAAGAAGTTTGTACTTGAACAGAAAGAAGTTGTTGCCAGTCCCAGTGGCTAAAGAAGAAAATAGAAAAATTTATAAAATAAGGTATTATATTTGACTGTGACATTGTAAGCTCTCTCTCTCTCTTAAGATAGGTTTAAAAGAATTGAATATTAGATTGTCGAAAAGGAAACTTTGTTTATTTTTATTTATGTATTATACCATATATATATATATATATATATTAGACATTGTATATATGTTACTGTGAATGACTGATATCTGGCGAATGTCAGCATTCACACAGTTGTTTCGTGTATGTATAAAATATTTGCTAAATATCATTATTTTTCACTTACACCGGCAAATGTCGACATTCAGCATGCACTGATGGTGAATGTTGAATAAAAATATCTTTATTACGTTAAGACAAAAATGCAACTTTTTAATATGTCAAAATAGGAGAAAGCTTTAGTAACAGCACATGTAAATAAACTGTTGAACCTAAAACAAACAGTACATTCTNCCGGCAAATGTCGACATTCAGCATGCACTGATGGTGAATGTTGAATAAAAATATCTTTATTACGTTAAGACAAAAATGCAACTTTTTAATATGTCAAAATAGGAGAAAGCTTTAGTAACAGCACATGTAAATAAACTGTTGAACCTAAAACAAACAGTACATTCTAAATCATTAAAGAAAATAATACAATAACAAACTTACACATAAATTATGTGATTAACATTATACAATCTATTTATTGCAACAACTTAAACTGTTATGGCACTTTGAATTGCACAAGATTCCCTTTCTTTTACAACTGCATTTATTCGTGGAACACTTCTTTTTTGCAATGACAGCGTATATAGCCTTGCCCTCCACTTTTCGAATTAGCTGCAGCTGCTTCTCTCAGCAGTATTTCTTGAGAAGAATTCTCATCTATGGAAAGTAATTTTTCCTTACAAATTACGAACTGATTATTATGTGATTATGATCTGTTAATGGTGTCTTTTTATTCAGATATTGCCGATGCCTTACCGATGACCCCCACTCAACCTGACAAGCCGATCCTCATCTCACGGGATCAAAAGAACAAAAACGCCATCCAGTGATAAAGTGGTTTCCACCAAACCGTTGCCGGGAAAAGAGGTAAGACCTTGTCCTACCTCCGGCTACCCGCAAAGGATTTGGCGACAGACTGTCGCCTCTCTGTCGACATCAGCTTCTCGGGTGTCATTTCGACCTCCACCAAAGCTTATCTGTGCTTGTCGACATACACCGGCGATTGTTCGAATGTATAATAATATAACCAAATATTCGGTCTTTCACCGACGTATTTTGTATGTGTCGACATTCACCAGAGAATATCGACATTCTCTAATTTTGGTCTTTCACAGTAACATATACACTTAGTATATATGTTGTGTATATATATACTTGGATGATGTACAATAATAAAAAAAACTAATTATTTAAATTATATACTAATATATATAAATGTCTAGTTCTATTTCCATTGTTGGTCCAAAACTCCCTTCTAGATTTCATTTGCTACTTGGATAAAAATCATATTAATTAGAAATAATTCATTTAAATGTGAGTTGGGATGCATACAAAATCCTAACTGGTGACAGGCTTCTGAGGTAGATGGAGATTTTGCAATCTCTTAGTCTTCTTATCTTAAAAATCTTAACCATCCTGATTATAGTGATAGGATCTCACATATAGCATAATGTATGATCTTGTAACATAAATGTTTCTATAGAATAAAGAATAGGAATCTCAAGACTGATTAATTTAAATTATTGGTATTTCTTATATGTAGAGGGTTAAAAAATGGATATTTTCCTGGATATGTGAGAAATTGTTGTTTGTGATATAATAGATTTTTGGAACAAAAGATGACTTTCAGTGGCCCAAACAATCTGTTAAAATGAGATTCTGCTGTAGTTTATTAAAATAAATCTGTAAAAGTTTGCTATTTGCATTTTGTGTAATTTCTTATGAAATTCATTTGTTCAAAAATAAACACTGCAAAAACCTAACAAACCAGTTGCTGGTTTTTTAGTTTTCTGGAGTGTTTATTTTTGTCTAATATTAACCAGTTGTAAAGTAGCAGTTGTTAATTCATTTGTATTTTCAAGTATTGTTACATTTTACAATTAAAATAGCTAACAAAAAACTTTGACTAAATTTTTTTCAAGACCCTGTTTAAAATTGGCACTTCAAAAATATGAAAACAATTGATTGTACAAAATAGATCACACCAAGATCTATTTTGTACAAAACATTTCATTTTTGTTGAGCTATGTAACTGAAGTTTAGAATCTAAAGAGTATTGATATTAATTACATTTTTGAACTTAAAAATTGACTAAAATATTGTACTCTATATAGCAACGGTTCCCAACCTTTTTCGGGTGGCGACCCCTTTTTATAAAAGCCAAGGTACCCGCGATCCCGATACAATTAAAAAAGGCATTTTTAATAAGGTAATTAAAAAAACAATGAAATTAGTTTTTTAGTATAATTTTATTTTAAATTATGTTTAATAATTAATTTAATTCGATGGTTGAAATTGCATGTTATTAACCAGTCTCAAAATTCACGGGTGAGATTTTGTTAACGCCAACCTCATGTCATTCTCAACATTTAATTTGTTCCTCTCAAAACTCTAAACACATGTTTCAACCAACTGTGACAGAATTGCGTACCCAGATTACACTTATTTTAATTTTTAAAAAATATATGAAATTATTCAAACTTCAAGACACCATTAAAAATAAATATTGCATTATAGTGAAAATTTTGTTTTAGTTTACTGCATAAGTTGGCGACCCCACAGAAAACCCGTCGCGACCCCCTTCTGGGTCGC